TATTTGATATTGGTCTCTTTCCACCAAGCAAAAAGGAAAGAGCTGAAAAACTATGATCTCTGTTAAAACATTTACTGATGTGTAAGGGACTCAACTGAGATGAGGAACTGTGCAATTCATGAGCCCTTATTTTTGCTTACAGGTCATTTTGCTTGGCTGGTGGGGAAATCAAGAATGAAGCACAAGGTCATGCCCCCCGCTGTCACTGGAGCACCAGAATTTGACAGAACATTTCGTGCGCAGTAAGTCCGGAAACAATGAATAACAATCCAGTCCAGAAGATGAGCAAAAACATTATCTTAAAACATTACATTTTTCTCTGCACCTGTTGCTCAAACAAAAAAAAAAAGAATGAACAGATTGCTTTTCAAATGGTTCAGCTATTGATTTAATGATGATGGGGATAAGTTCAGCTCATTTAAAAGCGTGACAGCTCAAATTCTGATCAAACCAGGCAATCAGATTACCCAGACCTAAGCAGAGGCTGAGAGCTGTAACTTTGGCAGTGCAAATGTTCTGGATTTAGGAAGCTGTGCTGTTAGCTCTTGGACTGTAGCTAACACCAAACACGTGGAAGACAAGAGCAGAGAAACCTCTGCCTTCACAGTGGACAACTGCAGGACAGCCTGTCCAAGAAGACAGCGTTTTCCTAATGGGATTCAGTTTGTGATTAGCTAATGACCCTATGCAAAAATATTAATATTTATTTCAAACAATCCCATCTGCTGTAACTGTAGTTGTAGTGGATAACAATCACAAGATAACATTAACTTTAGAGGCAACAAAATGAGGCCAAAGCTGATTCTCCCTTAAGATCCCACCTGTAGTCCTTTTCCTTTCCAGACTAATGTTCTTACAAATTTATTCTGCAGACAAAACTGTGTGGAGTTTTACCCAATATTCCTTACTGCCCTCTGGACTGCAGGATGCTTTTTTAATCAAGGTAAATAATTCATTGTTTTCACGGACTAAGAAGATTTATGTAAGTTTTTAAAACATTTTTGTTTTATTGGGAGGTAAATGACTGTAGACATCTCTTAACTTTTAATTGCATTACCTTAGCATAGCATTCCTAGAAGAATGCTCAGTGACACTGAAATCCCTACTTAGTCATGGCATTTCACATGGCCCAACCAGCTTTTACTTCTCTCTGCAAACCAAGGAGCCAGTACATGGCACATTTATCACACAGTCAGTCGATTTTCAGCGTGAATCATTCAGAAAAGCAGCTCCCAGATGCTTCCCACTAACACTGATTTGCACATTATGGGACAGTTCCCAAAGGACATCAAACATAGCTGTCGTTCCTGGGGAGAAGGCAGTCTGGAAAGGCTCAGGTCAGAGCACCCATCCGTGTGGCTGGAGCCCTGGCTGAGGGAGAGGAAGCTCAAGACAACAAGGCTTTGGGTTTTTGCATTCCAGAGGAGCAACATCACCCTTGGGCTCATCCATCAGTTCTGGGATGCAGCACTGAGCACTGAAGTGCTGTCTTAACAGTGGCACCTCCAGCCATAGATATTGTACTTCAGATAGGCAGCGAGGACACATGAAAACCTGTTATGTTTCCTCAGGCACCTAGCAAGGAGTGAGTTTTTTGGCCAGATGTTCTGAACTCAGATGCCACAGAGCCTTCACACCTCTCACAACGGGTCTGTGATGCCTGCTGGCAGTGATGGGGTGGACTCTCATAGAGCCAGAACTTGTGACAGAGCCTAACTTGTGCACTCTGCTGTATTAACCCTTCCCCAGCAGATGTTTTAGAAGCATGAAGTCTGTGGAGAAAGGCTAACTAACTCATGCCCACTATACCTCTCCTTCCTGAACAGCCAGCTTTCTTCTCCATTTCCCATGTTTGCTCCAAAATAGTAATTTTGGTTTGGCTCTATCTGATAGCCAGAGTTCTATCTCCATTGAAAATCCAATGTAGATCCAAAGTAGCACCACTTAAGTCAACGATTAGGATATAAGATAGCACATGTGGTCATAGATAGACACCTGAGGAAAATCACAGCTGCTAACAAGCAATATATGTGCTGTTACATGTAAGCAAAAAAGAGATTATGTTAACCTCCCCTTTAAGTAATTTTTTCAGCTGAGCATCTCCATAGGCATTTTTACAGGAGTTAATCCAGAACACGGTAAAGGCTGTCCCCTCTGTAATACTCACTTGTGTAGTCTGAAAGAACACAAAATTAACCAGCGCGGCTTAGTCCTGGATAACACCACTGACCCACACACCCCGCTCCATCTATCAAACAGAAGTAACTTTATACCCTTCCCACAGGGAGGTCAGAAAGCCAACTTCACTACAGCTTCCTCTCATGTCCTTGGATAAAAGCTGCTATATAAATGCAAATCAGGTTATTAACAACATAAATAAGATTCTTTTTCCAAAACAAACACTCTCCTTTAACACAAACTGCTGTAACAATACAAAATGACAGCCTGGGTCAAACCACAGTGCTCTGACCCACTGTCCTGTCTCCAGGATAACCACCAAACTGGGCTGGGGTGTGTGTGTACCAATTCCTGTCAGTTCTTGAGATCTCCTTCACAGGGAATGCTTTTAGGTGTTTTTGCATGCTTATGGCCACCCCTATCTATAAACCTGTATCAAGAGCCTCCTGTAGTGAGTATTTAAGAAGAAATACATCTTCTTTGGATGATTCTTTCCCAAGATAACCTCCCAGGATATGGGTAGTTATGAAAATCCCCAGAGCCATACAACTAGAAAACATAACTAAAGTGGTTAACTGTCTACAATCCTCATTTTTTTCAGATTTCTAACTGCTTTTTCCCTCCCTGTTAACCTTTTCTTTCTTAGAATTAGCATCCCTCCTGGGTGTGTTGTACGTGTTTACCCGCTACAAGTACTTCCATGGCTATGTGCAGTCTGTAAAAGGCAGGTAAGGAGTCCCCAGCTGAGGTTAAAAGCTCCAGGCTGAGGTCTGGGGCTGGGCTGAGACGCAAGGGCAGGCAGTGGTTAGTGATTGTCATAGAACACAACGTGTGTGAGGTGTCAGCAAGAGGTCTGAGGAGGAAACCTCAGGGAAGGGGCTGGTTGCTACAGCAGGAGCCCAGGTTAGGATGTGCTTGTGCTACGGACCACGAGACAGAAGAGGTTTGATTCTCACCTTGTTGTACTGAGCGTGCTGGCAGCCAGGCTGGGAGAGGCCTGAAAACAGCAGCAGTTTTGTGGCTCAGGACTGCTGTAGGATGGGAGACTGCTCAGGCACAGTGCCTGCCTGTCTGCCGTTCTCATTTTTGAAATGAAAATCCTGCCTGTCTGCTGTTCTCATTCCTCTTCAGTTGGTCGCATTAAGACCTTTACTCCAGCCACACAAAATACACTGAAGGAAGCAAGCACATCCGGCCTTGGAGGCTGATGAACTTTCACCAACCAGATAAGACAGCACAGTTTCAGATAAGCAGACGTTAATGAATGTTAAGTGCATGGCACCTTCTAATGTGAACTCTGCTTCAACAAGCATGCACACTGGCAAAACACCTCTCCACTATGTACACCCAAACACAGAGTTTATTTCTTCTTTCACTGAAGCCACTGCACTATCTTCTGTGTCCTGACCCAAGGTTCTTCTTCCAGCACACACATTAATCTTAGAAATAAAGTAGCATACTATATGCTTGTCATAAAATTAAAAGACTTGAGATGTCTGTTTCTAGAGGAAGATACAAAACCATCAGGCTATTTTGCAGTGAATAATCCCGCAGCAGTTAAAGACTGTGCTACAGAGCTGCTTCCCATAGCTTGTGTACTGATGTTATCATTCTCCTTCACCGCAGTCTCCACCGATCCTTTACCCTCTTTGGAAAGGCTGTTGCTTAAGAGAAGGCAGATGCTATGTTTTTCCCAGAGCAAATACACAGAGATAATCTGTTATCTCCCAGTAAGAGATGCAGTAATTCAAATGATGCAATGAACACCAACCAGAAGACTAGCAACTATTAAGGAAGTTCAGAGAGCAAAGCAGTCTAAATAAATGATCAAGCAGAGCATAATGTGTGGATGGGAAGCTCCCTGCTCACAGGTGCCCAAAAGTCAAGCTCTGTGTTTCAGAGCTGAAGGGGTCTCCCAGCCTCTTCTGTGGGAGCTTTCCATTTTGTACAAATAACCTGACCCTCTTCCATCCCCAGCGAGTGCCCTAATTGCTTTTAGGACTTTTTAGGATCGACACACTTCCTTTCTGGTTCAAAATCCATCTCTGGGTCAAAGTGATAAGCAGAAGCAGACATCCCAGCTCAGTGGAGAGTACCTGACCCACAGGTGTGGATGTAAGAGGCACACACACCTCTCCCTCAGCCCCAAAGGCTTCTCTCGCACATCTACAGCTGCAGTGAGGTGCTCAAGCTTGTCTGAGGCTTTACCTGCAGGTCTTCATGTCATGGGACAAGTCAGCTCATCCTGGATCAAAGTCCCAACTTCCACCTGAATATTTAGAAACACTGGGGGAGTTCTCCCATAGAGAAGATATTGGGGATCTCTCTTCTCCCTAGCAAAAGTCACATGCGGGAGTGGTTTATTACCACGTTACAGCAGGAATCCTTTCTGATTCTACACATCTCTTCCTAATTGGTGTGGACAAGCAGTTTCACTGTAAACACGCCACGTAACAGCTCGTAACAGTATTTTTCTGCTTTCCATTTCCAGGTCAACAGGTTTTTATTTGAATTTGATGATTCTGATTTGCCTGATAACCCTGGGTGCAGCTGGAATTGTCAGCAGCTTTCTGGATGAGTACCTGGACTTCAGCATTATGAAGAAATTACGTAAATTGTTCTGAAGACCGTTTTTGTTTGGTTGGGGTTTTTTAAAATAAATAAACAATGTGGATGCTTACCCTGAGCACCAAACAGATAAGCTGCATGTGAATAAAGCATCAGAGCTCTTTCCTAACAGCCCATTGCCATGTAAGGTGCATGCTTCTCCTCAGCTGTTTGCGACTTCTCCTTTCCCTA